GGCCGAATACAATTATTTGCTGTATTAAGTATATCCGTCATTTTTAGTTTGTGTATTTTTACTGCATTAGCCGAAAAGTATCCATTCTAAATTAGAATATATGTATTCATTTATTCCTTATCTGGTAGATTTGTTCGGTCAGCCGAAAAACATTATTGTGCGATTTAAATCATAGTATTATTGTCGGAAATGCACCAACAAAAAAGTAACATAAGAATCATAATAGTTTGTTAAAGAAAAGGAAATTATGAATCGTGATAAGAATATTGAATTTATATAGTTGAAAAATGTATTTAAGCTGTGTCTTTAAAGCTTCGAATAAAATTTAAAATTTAATTAAAATTCTACAAAATTTAAAAGTTTTATTCGATTTTTATTTAATAAACTTCGTGAATCACATTACATAAATTATATTTCAATTTTTGAAACAAAATGAGCAAAAGTAGTTCATCTAATGATTTGACAGTCCTCACTCAAACTTCTGAAAATAAAAGATGTAATTACTGTAATGTAATAAAGGGAAGGCAAAATTTTTTACGCCCTCGCAGTGATAATTTACAGCATGAGCATGCAACCTGTAACATGTGCTGTGAAAGACGTGCTAAAAAGAGACAAGAAAAAAATCTAATTTCAAGAAAGAAATCAAAAACAAATATTAGCGCTGATATAACAATTCCAGTTATTAGTACTTCAAGCTCTCAAATTAATAATGCACCAGATACTCTTCAAGTTAACAGCAACCTTGAGAATTATGATAATTTTGAGTCAACGTTAGAAGCTAATTTTTTTGAAAATGAATTTGCAAATATATTACAAACTGAAGAAATAGAAGAATATATTATCAGTTCACAAAGCGATGAATATGATAACGTTAATACACTTTCATACTGTATGGACGAAGTAGAAAGATTTATTACTATACAGTTTCAAAATGCTGAGTCATCCGAAGAGCCTGTAAAGTTTGTGTTCGAAATAGAATTAGATTCAGGGCTTTTAGATGCCGTCGAACTTGGTCAAGATCTTGAAACCAACCTACTAAACCTGAAGAAAATCAAAAGTAGCTTTGCGCAACTTACCAAAATTCTCACTTTACCACTAGAATCTGGGTCTGGATATTATTAGAGAGGACTAAACTTATGTTTAAATCAAAAAAAAAAGAATTTATAGGATGCGCTACAGTATACCTTCAATGTGCATCACGTGAAGACCGAAAGTGGCAAAGACCAAATAACCAGGATATCAAAAGACGAAGTGAAGCTCGTGCTGCAATAGAGCGATTTTCTTGCAAAGGCAAAATTACAATTAATATGAACATACACCTGCAACATACAACTGTACAGTATGAGCACCTATGTTCACATGAACGTTCATCATATAGACAAACAAAATTTCCAGACGATGCAAAACAATGGATCTAAGAAAATCTTAAGTATAACCTGCGGAGCTTAGATATATATCGACATCTAAGTGAAAATAATCTGATTAATCCAATACATACAAAAGAACAGGTGTATTATTGGATATTAGTTTATAGTAAACAAATATATCTTAAAAATGAAGGTAATCAGCTTTTATCGTCTAAAACATACCTTGAACAGCCTGAAATTGTTGCTAGAGGGTTTAGAATTATTACTTACTTTGACAATAATTTCATTCGGGCCTTGGGATTTGTTACTCCACTGTTTGATTGGATCAATGCCGAAAATATAAATGAAATAGTGGTAGATTCTACATTTAAAACGAACCAGGAACGGTTTGAACTCTTTGTCGTGAATGCTAATTGTGGAGGGTATGGTATGCCATTAGCGTATTTATATTTACTGATATCAGATAATATTAAAGAAGTATGTCATTATCCAGAAGATGGAATTACTACTCGCATACAGGTGCTTAAACAATTCTTTATCGGTCTTCGACAAGAGGGGTTGCTACCTTCATTTGTATTATTAGACAAAGATGCCAGTGAAATCTTGGCCGTTGGTGAAGCCTGGTCATGGAAAACAAATCTTCAATTGTGCTATTGGCATTTAGAAAATGCTATTAGCAGGCATTTAAAGGATAAAAAACCACGATCAAATACTTATTCTAAACAAAAGACGTTAGAAGCTCATCAAAAATTTAGTTTCATAGACCCATCGTGGATTCCAGCTAGTAATATTAAAAGTTTATGTTCAGAAGAATTATTTAAAGAAATTATTAATATTGTTAAACGGCATGCAAATATGCATCCATTAATTCTAGTAGATAAAGATGTTTTCTGGAATTCAGCTCAAATCTATTACTACTGCGTAGAGGAAGTCTATTGTTTCTGCTACACTCATAATTGTTGTGAATTGTGGGGATATCTTTAGCTAAACTGGTATAATGAACACGATTGGATATTGTTTGCTTGTTCCTCCTATCCTTGTGCAATGCCATTAGCTCGAACCACCATGATTACAGAAAGCCATTGGAGAGTACTCAAGTATAATTATAAATATAAT